TTCTTTTTTTTTTGAGACGGGGTCTCACTATGTAGTTGAGACTGACCTGGAACTCAGTATGTAGCCCAGGCTGGTCTCGAACTCAAAGTGATCCTCCTGCCTCAGCCTCCCGAGTGCTGGGACGACAGGCATGTGCTACCACGCCCGGCAAAAAGTTATTTTTAAATGAGGCATCAAAGGCACAGAAGAGATGTGCCTCATCTTCAGGGCTCAGGGTCAGCTCTTTGCCATACATATCTCATTTGGCTTTTCCTGTCGGATGATTTCTCTCCTTTGAAAGTGGCCTCTTGCATAGCTGATTCCTCCCCTGGGGCCTGGGTCATCTTTTTGCTGCTTGCAGCTTTTACGTCATGGATCCTGGGAGGCAGGAAGCACCCTGGAAGCCAGGGAGGGCTGAGGGTTGGAGGTCAGGGGTTTCCTGATCCTCTGCAACTCTACTCTTGCAGGAAAGGCTTGCCACATCCTCAGAAGCTGAAGCTCTGCTCCAGAAAATGGTACCTGTCTTGTTGCTGGGGAGAGAGACCAGGGGTCATGACTGCCTCCACAGCAAGGTGTAGATGCCCTGCCAAGCACACTGAGTACCAAGTGCCACTGGGGGCAAACAGGCAGGAGAAGGTTGCTGGTTGGCACAGGCAGGAAGTGAGGAGGCAGTGCACTCAGTCAGTTGCACAAATGTTAACTAAAAGCTTACTCAGACACTGTGAAGGCACAAAGGTATCTAAGATAGTTTCTGTCCTCCCAGGGCTTACACTTTCCTGAACACTTCAAGGCAAAATTTGAGAGCAAAATTATGAAAATAAAAAGTAAAAAGACTTCAGGAATTTGAAAAAATATAGCCAAATCTCAAAGTTCTGATCTGACATTTATGCAGGAATGTTCAACCTAGGGTAACTATGTCTACCGCTGATCAAACTCTGTACCCTTTCTTTTCTCTCTGACCAAATGGCCCACTCACTACTCATGATCTTAGGTTTAAGCTTCAAACACTTTCTCTTATCAGTGTACACCAATGACAGTTTTATCAAGGCTGAGGTAATACATTCAGAAATACTGAAATTAGAATTCCTTAAATGATCAACCGTGAAAGTAGGTGAGCCATCAGCTCACCAATCTATTTTTTTATTTATTTTTTATTTTTCTAAATGGTGCTAGGGACTGAACCCAGGGTCTCATGTGTGCTAGGCAAGCCCCCAGCTTCAAACTTTTTTCTTCTGTTACCAGTGACTGAACTCAGGACCTTGTGCTTGTAAGGCAGGTGTGGTGCCACAGCTAAATCCCTGGCCCTTTTAATGGTATTTTTGAGTCAGGGTACCACTTTATAGTTCAGGCCAACCTTGAATTTGTGGAGATCCTCCTGCCTCAGCTGGGATTACAGGCAAGTGCTGGGATCACAGGCATGTGTCACCACACCTAGCAAGCTTCTAACCTTTAAGGCAGGGTTTTTCAACTTTGATACAACTGCTATTTTGGGTCAGATACTGTACTGCCTATTTCAGGAGATTTATCAGCACCTCTGGATGCTAGTAAAACCCCTACCTCCAGTTTGAAAATCAAAAATATGTCCAGACAGTGCCAAATGTCACCTGGGGGCAAACATCATTCCTGTTTGAAAACAACTGCTTTAAAGAGAATAGGATGCAAACTAGGGAAAAGGCAGAGACCCTGGAGCTGAGGGTGGTAGGAATGAGAGAGCCCGGGGAAGTGTGACTAACCAGAGAGGAATGAGGAAGAATGCTGCGCTGCTTGGCGGGTGGAGCTGCCTGGCAAATCTCCCCGGGGAAACTCACTTAGTATCTAAGAGCTTTCCCCATATCTCGCAGAAGAAAATTCTAAAGCTTCAAGTTTGTCAGCAAAAACAAAAGGTAAGGATCTCTCCTAAAGAGGAAATAAAGTTTCAACACGCTTAAAAGCACCACAGGAAAAGTCACACCCCTAAGTGCCTAGTAAAAAAACAGAACAGTGTGTGCCCTGGTAGAGCACTAGGACAAAGGAAAGACTTACCCATTGAACAGGACTTGAGCTAGTTTGAAGAGCTCATGGCCCATTTCCACACTGGATGGCCCGTGGCGAGCCGCAACCACTTGGAGGCTCTTTTGTAGATGGGTAGCTGACTTTTGCCATTCCCCTGTGAGGAAAGAAAAATCTTATTCCAGAAAAGAATCATAGTCACTTTTGGATGAATTCTCAGGGTGATCAAAGGTGACTGGAAGGGACAGTAGCATCAATTTAAAGAGAAAGAAAACTAACCAGAACAGGCAAGGGTGCCCACAAAACACACAAGGTAGGAAATGAAGCATGTGCAGTACCTAGGGCAGCATAGGCCCGGGCCAAGCCATCCTCGATTTCCCCTGCCACAGCATGCTCTGCCGACAGGAAGCTCTCAGCATCTTGCTGGCACCTCAACAACCACGGAATGGCTTGCTCTATCGAGTCCAAGGAGAAATGCCTCAGTATAGACATAAGTCCAGTCCTGAAAACAAGAACCCACATCCCACATTCTGCGCTGTAGAAATGTCCCCTCGTGTCCCTGACTGTCATTATCCCCATACTCCAATAATGTTTTTCTCTCATGTTTTTTTCCTTCAGTGGTGCTAGGTGGGGCATCCCCACACTTACCCTGGGTTTCCAACATCCACTTTCCAACACAACCAACTCTACAGTTCACTTACAGTCATCATTTCTCTTAACTTTGAAATCTAAGCTGAAATGTAACTTTCATAAAGTAGAGCAAATAAATTTCCACAATGTCAAACTCTAATTTCCAGGGGTGATAAGGAGTTTCATAATTATTTCTTTTTTTCTTTTCTGGAGATAGGGTCTCACTTTGTAGCCCAGGCTGGACTCAAACTCATAGTGATCCTCCTGCCTTAGCCTTCTTCTTTTTTTTTCGTTTTTTTTTTTTGTTTTTTTGAGACAGGGTCTCACTACGTAGTTCAGACTGCTCTGGAACTCACTGTGTAGCCCAGGTTGGTCTCGAACTCATAGTGATCCTGCTGCCTCAGCCTCCGGAGTGCTGGGATTACAGGAGTGCGCCACCATGTCCGGCTGCCTTAGCCTTCTGAGTGCTGGGATTACAGGCGTGTGTCATTATGCCTGGCAATTTCTTTTCTGAAAAGAAACTTACTTTCTTTCTTTTTTTGTGTGTCGTGCTGGGGATTGAAACTAGGGCCTCATGCTAGCCAAGTGGCTACCACTGAACTACATCCCCAGCCCAAGTGCAGAATTCCTAACTCCACTGTTCTGTAGAAAAAACTGGCTTTGATTAGGGAGAACAACTTTCCTAGGAAATTAGGTCATTAGGCCCTGGAGTTAAATGATGCAGAATTCTGGCGTTTCACAGAGTTCATGGAAGTCAGAGATAACCCTTCAGTCATTAAGAATACTATAACTTGGCTATATGATGCCTAAGACAACAGCTTAACTCATTTGGCATTTTATTTTTCATGGATACCAGACTGAATGGTTAAGATTTACTCTACTGGCTTCTATAGCCATCTTGTGGCTGGTATGGGGATAATTAAATTCAATTCTTCAATCATCGAATAGCTTTTTTTTTTTTTTTTTCAGTGCTGAGAGTCAAACCCAAGGCCTCACACATACTAGGCAAATTCTTTTCCACTGAACTATACCCCTACCCGCTAACTATTCTTGAGTGGAAGGTGATGCCAGAATATTAAAAGGGAAGGGGCCAGTAGACCAAAGCAGGAGCCAGTCTCACCGAGTTTGCCATTTCTGAGAAGCTCTGAAGCTATCCCAACCTGCTGCTGAAGGTCCTGCAACCGAGAGACCAGGTGGTTCCTGCTGATGCGTTCTGGACAAGCTCTGTTCCCACAGCTCAGGACATCATCTCCCTGTGGAAGTCATTTCCATCTTTATTTCTATACCAGAGTTGGTTATTAACACTGGCCATACTTACATTACAGGGCCATTGACCCAATAGGGGAAAGAGACCCTTGCAATAATATATCATAAGTAGGCTGGGGATTTAGCTCAGTGGTTCCACTGCCTGCCTTGCAAGCATAAGGTCCCGAGTATAATCCCCAGTACCAAACAAAACAAAACAAAAATACCAAAATAACATATCATAATCAAAGCCTGGCTGAATTTGGTCTGATAGCAGCAATTCTAATGCAAGTAGTAGCTTATTCCATCCCAAGATTTAATTTTTGGAAAAGAACTGCTCAAGTTCACAGTTCATCTCAACAGCTCCTTTCTTCTCTCTTTGGGGTCAGGCCTCGGATGATAGAAACATTTCTAGTGGTTATAAAAAAGCCATAAGAAAACCAACACAAAAAGGTGCTAAGTGAAGCTCCCTCACATTTGACATTGGGTCTGCAACTTCAGCTCTCAACGCAACCAACTCTTCAGTCTTCTTATGGTTCCCCTATGGAAAATACTGTATGCCCTTGAAGAGAAGAAAACTTCTGAGGTGGGCATTTGTTTTGTTGTTGAAGATGCCAGTATCTATGCCATCATTTGGCAACAACTCAATTTCTTGAGGACCCTCACCCTTCTACTGTCAGTGCTCTATAGCTGAGAGTGTGAACATGTGGCTCAGATGTAGCCTGCTCCTCTGGTCCAACTGGCTGGGACAAAATTAGGATTTTTGGGGCTGCGGATTTAGCTCAGTGATGCTGCCATCTCCCTCGCAAGCACAAGGACCCAAGTTTGATCCCCAGTACCAAAAAAAAAAAAATTCTGATTTTCCTCTGGCCACAGTCACTGGGTCGATGCAACACTGTAAGACTTTTGCCCAGACTATTGTTGGAGTGGCACATGTTTTCAACCTCCTGGGCAGGGAAGGCGAGGAAGCTGATCTGTTGACAGCCATCCTGCCACCATGAAAGGGAAGTGTGCATGAAGATGGGGCTAGCACAGAAGGAATGGAGTTGAGAGGCAGATGGGAAAGTGCGGTCCTGGTGACATTATCCAAGTACCCAAGTTGTGTCTGAAATAGCCCTCTCTTAGAACCTTTTAATTACTTAAGCAAAAAAATTCCCAATCTTTTTCCTCCCTTATATCAGTTTAGGTGGGATTTTCTGTCATTTGAAAGAGAAACAACATTAAATTAAGTCCTTTCCTATGGTTTCTTGGAGGGACAGCCAATGTGTGGAGATGATTTATTCCGGTGAAGTGACATGACTGCTCTCAGCAGCTTTAAACCCCCAGTGGTGGCTCCTCCTAAAGACTGGGGGCCTGTGGGTCGGATAACTGACCTCCAGAGACAACAGAGAGGAGAAGGGAGAGGAAAGGTTTACCTGCATGAGTGCTCTGCAGTTATTACAACGGAACGCTTCCCACCTGGGCCCTGTAGCTGTTCTGAGCTTCTCACAATGACAAGCTGGACAGCTGCAGTCAAAGAAGTACTGAGACCTCAGCTTCTGCTGCCTTTCAGCAGCACTCATCCGGCTCTCGTGAGGCCCTGGAGAGAGATCACACTCAGCTAATACTGAATGCAAGAAAGAGTCAAACAGTACTTAAGAGGCCTCAACTCAGCAGAGGGTCGGATGATTATTCACCATGACAGGTAACCTTTACTTAAACATTTGTGGAACTGGATACTGAAATAAGCTTCCAAGTTGCTGGGACAAGAAAATAAAGAAGCTGAGGCGTAGCTCCTAGAACCTAGACCATTTTCAGAACAAGAAGTTTACAGAGATTAATCAAGGACAGACATGATAGCTTAGCCATAATAGGGCTTCTTACTATGGTAAGATGATCTTTTTTTTTTGGGGGGGTGCTTAGTGATGCATTGTTTTTTCCCTGTAACAAACACCAGACAGGTGAAGGCCCAGGGAATTGCTCTTCCCTACCCACTCTGTCCATTGGCTGGAAAGGAGTGGGACAAGGGAGAGGAGGGCTGGCTCACCATAGCAGTGGAGAATCTCCTGCCCTTTTCTAATCTGCTGAGCTGCCCGAATGGTGGCGACAGTGCCAGCAAAAGACACACTGGTGTTGGGGCTGCAGGAGTGGTTCAGGAGGCTCACGACAGGGAAGATGCCTGTAGCAAGGCGTACCTGCCTGCTGTCAGTAACAATGCTCTCTTTAGATCCTGAAAGTACAGAGGCAAAAGGAAAAATATCAGGACATCAGTCCTGGTGTCACCATCCATTTGTCAGAAGTTAAGCTGGGCATCTGGGCCTGAAGCCCATCTGAGTCATGCATGGCTCCTCAGCCGGACCCAGTACAAATCAGATGGAACATGGCTCACAGTAAACTCTGGTCCCTAGGAAGCAAAGTGAATGAACACAAGAAAAGTCCACTGGGATCCTGGAACCTAGCTATTGTGTCTTGACACCACACACACAAAAGCTGCCAAGATTAGAATTTATAAAAAATAATTAAAAGGGGATTATCAGCTGGGTGCTTTCCTGACAGTTTCATAATGTTCATGAAGACACAGAAGCCAGAATACCTGTTGAGATTATTTCCCAAAGACTTTTATATTCCAAGTGCTTTTATGTAACTGGTCTTTGGGTGGTTAATAGAACATGCGACCTAGTTATTATACCAAACTTTATATATTTAAGCAGGCATAAGTGTATATAAAAATCAATATTCTTTAGGTTTACTTCTTCATTATGCTCTTTGACCACCTTTCTGGAAAACCAGTAAGTAGTTCTCAAGGAAGTAAACTCTTTATATTAACTTTATTCAAGACAATCTCTTAGCTCCCAAAATCTCTTTGTAGTACAACTGACCAGCAACTTAACTACATGACTGAACCTCAGAAAGGAAGAAAGAAAATGGCCTCCAGGCAGTGAGGCAAGCCTGTACCAAGGCACATGCACTTCTGTTTATATGTGAATTCTATCATGTGTAGGTCTGCATGGTTAAATTTCCATTGCTGTGACAAAATACCTGAGAGATCAACTTAAGAGAAAAGTTTTATTTTGGCTCATGGCTCCAGAGGGGTCAGTCCATGGCTACTTGGTTTTGACACTTAAGGCCTGAGATGGTGCAGCATGGAGAGTGTAGCAGAGGAGGCTTCTCACTTCATGGTGGCTGGGAAGCAAAAAGAGAGAGGCGGGACTGCAACCCCATCTCCTTCAAGGGTCCCTAACTTCTTCCCACTGGGCTCTCCTCCTCCTCCTGCTCCTCCTTCTGTTTTTTTGGTACCAGGAATGGAACTCGGGATTTTGCTCTTACAAGGCAGGCAGTGGAACCACTGAACTAAATCCCCAGCCCCATACGTCCTACTTCTTAAAGGTTCCACCACCTCCCAGTAATGCCATAGGCATCAGCATTTAGGCCGGTGGAGGACATTTAAAATCCAACCATAACAACCTATTTGCTCTTATTTTACACATAACACTAACTGATTTGCTTAAGCAGGTTCTCAGGCCACAAATGTCCAGAAGCAGAGAACCAATATGGGGAGAATCTAAGAAACAGATTTTTCTAACAAAGGCAAAAGACAATGACACACTGGAGAGAGATGCAAAAAGTCTTAAGACTAACAGCAAACAAAACACGAACACCACTCAGCATTTTACCACCCTGGCAACATTTCACCTAACCAGAAGGTACTAGATGGACGGCAGTCCCACATGAGTTTTTGTAATAGCCAGATATATCACAGGAGCATGTATGGTATAGATAATTGCCCAACTCTTCCATGTACAGTGCCTTAGTTTAAACATGAGGAAAATCATGTTTCCAACAAACTCACTGAAGTATGAAAGATATTTAATACTTAAAGGGAAGGATTCAGTTTTCTAAAAAGCTGAAAACAATCAGATAATTATGGTATCTATGTACATATGCCAGGAATCTCAACAGACTATTTACCAAAGAAATAAGTAGTCTAGATACAAATGTAATGAATAAAGAAAGTATCATAAATCGTCATGTGAAAATGTCCTATAAAGGAAAACATTAAATACAGGAATTATATTGTCTCTCTGCAGACAGTTCTATTATCTGTTGCTATGGTGGACAAGGATAGAACAAATAAATACAACTCATAAGGAATCCAAATGAATCAATTTTAGTCAATAATTCCATAAACTGTATTAAAATCTTTCATCAGAGCTTCTCCTAAGTGCTTATCTGATTTTAGTCTCCTTTCCTCCCCCTCTGTCCAATGTCTACCTTCTGGAATACGTGCTAATGAGCAGAGAAAATGCTAAAAGGTAGGCAGGCGGAAGGAGCTGTGCAAGGCACGAACAATTTGCAGTCTGAATAATCAGCCTCTGCATAATTAAAAGTTGACTTGCATTCCCAACTACTGATAACTGGCAATCTATATTAGAACAGTTGCTAAAATTTCTCAGAAAAAATGATTGCAATACAGTGAGTAATGTCGGCTTTGTGAATTATTTATAGATTATCCTCTAAGAGGAGCAGGCCCAGGAACTGAGTGGGGTATTTGTGTCAGAGTTGAATGTCTCTCTAATTACTTTTTAAAAATTAAGTATTGATTTTTAAAAATTATTCAATATTTTGCATTATTCATGTATTAGCAGAGATAATAGAAAGCAAGAATATGTATGTATTTTATCAATCAAATTTAATATATGACATTTTATATTTAAAAAAGGGAAGCTGGGCTTGGTGGCGCATGCCTTGTAATCCCAGTACTTGAGGCTGAGGCAGGAGGATTGCTGTGAGTTTGAGACCAGCCTGGGCTTCATAGTGAGTTCCAGGTCAGTCTCAACTACATAGTGAGACCCTGTCTCAAAAAAACCAAAATAAATAAACAAATAATAAAAAATAAAAAAGGGAGGGAGGAAGGGGGGAGGGAGGGAGAGAGAGAGAGAGAGAGAGAAGAATCTTTACCAAAATGTATCTCATTAATATCTTTAGTGAAAACATTAATATCTTTAGTGAAAAGCAAGCAATCTGGGTATGGTGGCACATGCCTGTAATCCCAGCACTTGGGAGGCTGAGGCAGGACGATTGCCTCCAGTTTGCGACCAGCCTGGGCTATATAGAGAGTTCAATACAAAATAAGACTCTGTCTCAAAAAAAAATTCAAGCCAGGTGTAGTGGTGCACACCTGTAATCCCAGCACTCAGGAGGCTAAGGTAGGAGGATCGCTGTGAGTTCGAGACCAGCCTGGGCTACACAGTGAGTTCCAGGGCAGTCTGAACTATAGTGATCCCTTATTAGAAAAAAAAAAAAAAAAAAAAAAAAAATCATCCACAGTATTTCCAGAATATGCCTTCTCTGACATGTATTTTGCAAAATGAGAAACTCTTGTGTGTTAAGTTAGGCCAATGATGAGTGAAAGCAAATGGTGTTGAAGTGATCTGAAGCTATACAGAGACTTATTAAAGACTTATGACATGAATCCAGATACAATCCAGATGTGCTGTTCCCACTAAGGCGAAACCATATATACCTGCAGTCAGGTGTAGAATGTCATCAGTGGCTGGTTCTGTCCCTTGAGAAGGGCACCAGATAAGGGTTTCTGAGAATTTTGATTAAAAAGGATTTATGCAAAGATAATAACACATTTTTATAGGTTTTTGTCAAAGTCTATCCTAGTTAACACTTTAATCCTTCTTCTGTGCTACTAATGAAACAGCTGCTAATGAAATTCAATGAGAACACTAAACTGGGAGGTGTTGGAACCCCAAAGAAATAATAAAAAGGGATATAACAAGATTAGAAATATGAGCAGACTAAAACAAAATTAGACTGAGTTAAAAAAATGAAAGTGAACATTGCTGGTGGGCATGTAGCTGGTACAATTTACCTGGAGGGCAATTTTATAATATGTATCAAGTACTTTAAAAGTGTTCACATGAAAAAATCTTCTTAGCATTTGGATTATTTTTGTTATTTAAAAAACTAAAATTGGGCCGGGGATTTAGCTCAGTGGTGCTGCACCTGCCTTGCAAGCACAAGGTCCTGAGTTCAATCCTTGGTCCCAGAAAAAAAAAAAAAACCCTTCTAAAAAACTAAAATTACAAAGAGAAAACCATATAGTCATCAACAATTTAAACACTGAAAAGTAAAGTACAATGACAGTCATCTGTAAGCCTACTGTGTATACTGTTTTGTTGTATTCTCTGTAGGTTATGTATGGAATCCCCCTACTCTATCACTCTACCCGCCATTATGGGGGAATGAGCTCTCTCACATGCTTGGCAAATGCTTTATCAATGAGCTACAGCCCCAGCCCTTTTAATTTTTAATTAATTAATTTACGCAGTTCTGGGGGTCAAACCCAAGGCCTTGCCGATATTAGACAAGCATCTAACACTGAGCTATATCTGCTGTCCCCCTTTGATTTTGAGACAGGATCTTGCTAAGTTGCCCAGGTTGGCCTTAAACTTGGGATCCTCCTCAGTAGCTGAGATTACAGGCATTTGCCACCATGCCTGATTATATAGGGAATTTTTAACATAATTGAAACACTGTACACACAATGATTTGTAAGTTACTTCTTCTATAGGGTAGGGGATGTAGTTTCCTGTTATAGCACTTGCGAAGCACCCTCAAGGACCTAGCTTTAATCTGAGTACCACAAAAATGAACAACATGTCCATTATAATTTAAAAAATAAATCAGCCAGGCATGGTGGTGCAGGCCTTTAATCCCAGCACTCTGGGAGACTGAGACAGGAGAATTGCAGATTCAAGCCCAACAAAACAATTCTTCCAATGTCCTAGGCAAAAAATGGTGTTTCAATTTCTAGAATGTTAGAAACTGACCATTTCTATTACCATATTATTACTCTTTCTTTGTTTTACCAAGAATTGAGCTGTGGGCTTTTGCACTGAGCTATATCCCTCCTTTTCTTTTGAGATGGGGTTTCAACTAGATTGTTCAGGTCAGACTTTCTGCCTCAGCTTCCCAGAGTTGGACCAACCTATTTTTTATTACTATAGTTCTTTGATAAAGTGCTTGCTCATGTGCATATTTAGAGCCTTTATTGGGATATAATCTATCTACTATATAATTCAATGATTTTGGAGGGGGAGATTTACATAGCTGTGTAATCATTACTACAATCCAGTTTTAGAACATTTTCATCATATGTATATTTTACAAAACTCATTTTAAGAGTTGTATAGTTGCTAGAGATGTTTCTTCATTTTG